GATATGGTACAAGGAAGATTTTAAAATTATGATAGTTTGATAATTTGTACATTTTGTTATGGTATAAATGTACAATAACTAAAGAGCATTAGACTAAATATTACATAATAATATTATAATAAAGGAAAGAACTTTTTATTTTAAAATCATTATTAAGGACTATTATCCTTAGTAGGTTCATACAATTTAGGAACTCGTAAACTATTCGTTTGTATTTTTCTATAAGATGCACCAATAATAATCTAATTTGGGGATGAGGTGACCGAGTGGTCTGACGCGTCCGCTGCGACGCAGCCGGTCGTGGTTCGATCCTCGGCTACCGGGCGGCACTTTTCTCCGGACAAGTCGCGGTGACCGGAGAACAAGTGCTGCCATCCCCCACCCCCGGGGCATGGCAGAAACCTACGGGTGCCCCATTCGAAATTCTGCCAAAACAAACACACACGTGTTCCCCCCTACCGTCCCAAAAATATACAATACAAAAAAAAACCTACAATACAAATCCTACTACAGCTAATGGCCTCAGTTGCCGAAGCTTAAAAAAAATAAAAAAAAATAAAAAAAAAAATAATCTAATTTACAGTAAAAAAAGGTGGTTCTCATATTTTGAGAGAAAACGAAGTTGTTTGCATTACCACATGCTTCTCCTTGAATTGAATAAAAAATCTAAGGATTTGAAAATGAGGTCATCAATAATTAATAATAAATCAATAATAAAAATTCTAAAAATGAGAGTTTGAATAAATGCATTACTAAACAATAAAAGAAAAGTTAATCATGCTTGGTTAATCGCCCCTTATGTATATGTACATAGCATATAATGTATCCTATACATTCATATGGATTAAAAATATATTAAAAATTTAAGTACCTAAAATGTAGACGAAGTATGACATATTTTATTCTGAACAGAATTTAAATTACTTTGTTTGAGTTGTAAGTTGAACTAGGTATCTACGTTACGCATTAATATCTTATTTGTTTTTCAGATTGATCAAATTCGCATAGTTATCAAAAAATATACTACAATTATATAACTTATTGCGTAAGAGTGTAAGACAATACTTGCAGTTCTTTTGAATACATATTTATAGTACTTTGAAGTTTGAACTATGATTTCAATGCTTGCATCTAAGTAACTTATTTATTAGAATTGGATATTATACTTAAACATATACGTACTTCGGGTTTCCTTAGTTCTAGGAATTATAATGTCTTCATGATATTATCAACAATATTAGTAACGGAATAATGCCAATAAGAAATATTGAAATCATATTACCCCATAGGTCATGATAAGTTGTAAAAAATAAAATATATAAAATCATTTTTGATATCAATTAAACTACAGATTTTGATTTATTGTATGTACCTATTTGTAAATCGACGTATCTATATATTATATTATTCATACTATAATAATAATTTTAGTGTCGATTTATTCCACAGTTTACAACTTGAATTTATATACGTATTGAACAGACACTGTTATTTTCAAGTAGTCTTACAGAAAATTTCGAAAAAATCATCACCCACTAATGTGGGCATTTGGCAGATATTCAGGTTCAAGATATAATTTTTCTATTAAACTTATAAATCAAAATATTTTTATAATCCAATTAGCTTGAAATTCTTTTCTTATTTACTTAAGTATGTTAATAGTGGATAAGTGATATATTGCGGTTTTCAAGAATTACAGACTATTTTGTTTTGTTTTGTTTTATTTCATACAAATTGAACTATTAGTTTGTACGATTTATAAATGTAATACGAAATATTTGCAACAAGTCTAAAATAAAATTCGATTATGATTATGATTATAAATCTTTAGTTTAAAGCTTAAAATGAACCAACACTATCATGTGACATCTGTTATACTTTTAATACCAAAATATAATATTTTGTGTCTAATTTATTTTTAAATCAAAATTTGTCTGTACCTAAGTTTTTAAAATATAGTTTTTGAATAGTGTTGGATTATTATTATTATTATTTTAATCACTCAATTTCTTTTAAAAATGTATTCAGTCTACTATACACAAAATGTGTAAAATATTGTTTGATGTAATTTTGTAAACTTAAGTTATACTTTCGAACTTATTTATTAAGCATAGTGAGGCTTCTAGACCAAAACTAACAGAATTTCTTCTGAACAAATTTGTTAATAATAAAACAAGGCGCGCGTAGGTCAAATTGGTCCGAATGCAATTTCAGATATGTTTAGTTTAAATAAAATAATTTAATTGTTGAATTTATAAGTTATCGTTACATAAAATATTCTTATAAAATAATATTAACTTAAATTTTCTATTTAATTATTTTATGCATAGGTACAAGTAAACATTTATAGAAATAATCAAATACATTCGTCAAATGTTTAAATTGTTTTTTATTTACTGAACATAGAATTGTATAATGATTATAACAATGACAATAATTATTTAAATAATGCTTTACTTTTATTTTATGCCTTTGTTTATTTTTTTTTCTAGTTAATTACTGGTTTTAGAGAACTTAATTATACTAATTTCTTATTAATTATTATACACGCTTATTTATTATAAAATAACTGTGATTACTTGCAGATTTTATTATAATGTGGAGAGAGACCTTGTCAACCAAAATATAAGCTAATTAAAAAGTTGAATGTTACTAAATTTATTCAATGGTTTAAATTTAAAAAATATTTTTCGGCAAAATGAAGTTCTTTTTCAAAAAAAACTATCTTTAGTTGGGAAAGACATTGAATTATTATAAACATGTCTTTTCTTATGAGCCCTAAAATTTAAAACGTTAACAACATTTGCAGAATCACCAAAATTGTGAGTTATATTTTGTAGACAAACATCGTTTCCATTCAGAATCACTTTTCACTGTTACTATGATATATCATTGGATTGAAAATTAACATATCAATTACAGCACTGGCATACGAAATGACAAGATACCTTCGATATTCGACACCTAATGACCACTTAATGGCTAATTTACAACAGAGACTCTTTCCCGGTTTATGAGTAGTGGTATTTTGTTGTATTCTACATTCAAACTATATTATGCCTATATGATTTAGTGCTTAACATCAGTCAATGACTATTTTATCATAAAAAGTTCACTAGATTTTTTAATAAACTTTCAAATTATTTTGATTATTGCTGACCGATTGGTAAAGTTACATTTCTATCATGTCATAGATTTATCAAAGTTGATGTTCTTTCAAATTTATTCCTAAGACACGTGCAGTATATCATAGTAGGTACAATCAAATTTTAAGCAATAATAATCTCTAAGAAGAAAAATCCTAACCCCAAAATAGTTTGTAGTGCACCTAAATAGTAGTAATAGCTACGTGACTTAACATGTTTTCGACATCCTGTTGAGCTCTATGTAATATATTAGGTGTAGTCCAAATTATAGAATATTTATTTCGGCCAGCTTAAAAATCAGATATGATAAAAAGTTAATCGATGTACAAAAATGTTGAATAAATATGAAACTTATGTGTTTTTATCATTTAGTATTTGAATATAAAATTTGAAATATTATGTTATCATTCAAAAAATTAAACGTTTGAAAAAATATAAAGATAAAAAATATAAAACCTATATTTACTGTCAATAATATTGTTTTGTAATAAATTCTAATTATATAAAACGATATTTTCAAAACGTGATTTCTTTTCAAAAAAATTAGTGTTTACTGTTTATCTTATATGTTTTGAACATATCAAAATATGTTTGTCCTATAGTTAAAATTATTTATGTGTTTATGTATTAGGTATTACACCCAATTTAAATATGCAAATAACAACACACTACTGGATTAAATACAAGAGTATTGAAAATATAATATAGGTAATATATTATTCTTAACCGATGGATGACCTACTAAAATACATTATTAAACGATGAAAACTGTTTATTTAATTTAATGGGTTCGAAGTATTTTGTTAATAATTTATAAATTATAATAAAAACTGTGCAATTATGTTTATAGAGCTTAACCTATGACGTGATTGTGTTGCAAATATGTGGATTTATCTTTGAAAAAAAAAATATTTTAATTTTAATTCAACAAAAATATAAACACTCACATTTCAGGGTTATGTTAAAACTTTTTCTGTTTGGCATTTTCCAACACATATTATATAAAAGTACGCTTAATTTGAAGTATCACGCTGACTTTATCCGAATATAAAATACTCTCATTTCGTTTTTGCTATAAATAAAAAAACTACGGTTTTATAATATTAACAATATATATTATGTATACTATATAACGTATTTATGAGTATTTCTTTAAAAATGGCATTGTTGTGCTGTTATATGGATTCCTCCTGCTGCACATGTTATTGGTACCTACACAGCAATCGTTGTAAATCGTTTTTTTTTAAAATTTTTTTTTTACGATTTTTCACCTTTGTATTTTATAATCATAATATGCAATTGAATCACTAAACTGCGCGTGAAATAATAAATTATATTCGTAAAGTTTCACCGTATACCTCCTACACGCAACGCTGGCAATTGCGTCGTAGTCCTGCGATCGGGATTCGCAAACGCGCAGAAATCACCACCAAACTTTGAACGGCCTGCGCCGTTGTATCAGTCGAGACGTATTTGACGCATACGAATAATAATAATTACTGTCGCGGGTATCGTTTACGACACCGTGGCTGCAGGTAATCGAAAATCAGTTGGCAGAGCATTCATAAAATCACGACCAATATCGAATACATTACAATAATATTATAATATTATCGCGGCAAGAGCGCGTAAAATAATAATAATAATATCATCATGAACCAGTAACAACAAGTGTGTGTGTGCCTGTGTGCGCGCTCTCGAGCGATATTAATATTATTATATTATACACTCGCCGCGCTGCAGTGGGTACCGTCGAAGTGGAAAAGCGCCGCCGCGTCGGAAGTGGGGAGGAAGCAGAGGGCAGCGAATAGGTGTATTATATTATGTGTATTATAGCGACGACAAATTAGCAGCCTTCCGCGGTGACTCGCGTGGATATACAATATTGTTTCCATAGTAGTATGGCGCGTAACTGCAGCCGCAAGTCGAACGTCGATCGGCGACCGTGGTACACATGCACATAACGCGTTTACGATACGACACTATTGTTATACCGCGATGACCAACGATCGATGACACATATATGTATATATTTTAATCTCGTATATTATATTCCACGCGCGACGCGAGTGTTAGTCAGTTGTACAAGAGCACCTCTCGGGGATACGAAAAACGTACCTATTTATACCGGCTCGATTGCACGATATCGTATACATTTCGAGACGTCGTCGTCCAACGAGCAATACGGTAATATTTAATGCCACGCTGTGCACCGGCCACAAATAGTCCGTGGTTATATCACTATTTTGTGAGCACAAGTATCATACGAGAGTGACATATTCGTGACAACTCGGCTCATTCAATTCGTCATTTAAGAATACGGTATCGTTGTACTCCCGCTGCAGCGTTCGATTGATGAATACAATTGTTTCAAACCATGTCATAAGCCGCGATTGACTTTTCCAGATTTCGGAATCTATTACTGCACCATCGTGTACCGGGCAAATCGTCGTGATTTCGGACGAGAGGTAATATCTTTAAGTTTTAATACTATGATTTATTGTATTAGGGGTGGCATATGATATATTTTGTATTTTTTTTTTCAATTAGACGTAATAATATTATAATAAACATTTTTTACTCGGAAGGTTTTTTATTTTATTTTTAATTTTTACTATGATGTTCGGCCACCGACTATAAAGATGTGAAAATCATAAATTTGATTTTGAATTAAATGTCCATTTAAGCACTATAAACATACCACAATATTATATTATTACAGCTCACATAAAATACACGATAAATTATATTTTGTTTGGCTTTCACGAACTTTTAATACATGAACTTGTTGCAGTACTTACACTCCTATGATTAGAGTACCTATTTACTATGATTTTATAATTTTTTTTTTTTTTACTACTTGGTTTTTATATTTTGTATATACAGAATTTTAGGTCACTCGGAATTATGACTAAAGAAAGTTGTTGGTCTAGTTATAGTGAAAATTGGTTTTTAGTTTACATAATTTACATTGTATGTAGTTATGTGCTTACTGATGTGAGTTTATTTAATTTTTCTAAAAAAGATTTAAATTCGTAGATTGTATAAGTAAGTACAATATAAATGCTTTTAAATTCAGCTAATTCGTAGGTGTTATCTAATCCATTATGTAGTTAAGCTTACATTATTTTTAAATTAAAACTAATAAATTATTTTAACCTTGTATTAGGTAGATGTATTCAGTAGGGTTTAAAGATCGGAACTAAACTTCTTTTTATTATAAAGACCTCAATCAATTTAGTGTTCGTCGAGGTACAAGGATCTATACGAGGCCTTTTTATGAATTCACTGGTGTATGTAACAATATGTAACATATCTATTAAAGTATACACTCTTTAATAGTCATTATTTTATTATACAGTCGTTAAAATGTGCTTTTAACAACTGTTCATATACATAATTTAACATAGGATTTATAAGGATGGTCGGGGTTTCAGTCATATTTTTAAGCGCATACAAAATAATTTGATCTATTCTACTTTTTTTTCACAAATCTATACATTTACCGAATATTGAATAATACATTTTCTTTTAAAACAATTTGCTTTTAATTACAATTGTTATTTCAAAATACAAATTCCTATTTATAGCGACGACACATTTTTGAACCGACTATTGCATAATTTTTTATTTTTAATATTCTTATCACTGTTATTTTAACCGAAATAATATTATTTCAGTCGAATGTCATAACACGACATTGTTTCTGGTACATTCACAGATTCAGTATAATGGAACAATAAAAGTTAATTATGTGGACCTCTTACAAAAAAAATAATAAAAAATTTCCTCATCTATTGTTTATATACACTGAATGTGAATGTTATCATTTGTGAGTATGCAGATGATGTTTATCAAAATTGTTCGTACGTTCAAACTAACTAATGCAATAAGTTTATGATCGATAGTTTTACGAACACAATAATATTTTCCTTCCTGTTTGAACCACGATTTACTATTATACCTAAGCACCTAATGAAGATTGTTTTAGATTCCTAATTAAAAATTTTATGTTTACCGTTTTACTATTCTTTATAGTTTTTTTTTTCGTTAAACAACTAAAAAAGCTTAACTTTAATAGATAAAACAATTCTCACAGTTGACTCTAAATAAAATAAAACACTGTTATTCAAAACTTTTTAGGTATTTAATACACTATTGATATTACAAAATAGAATCAAAACCATTTATAAAGCATTAATCCCAATTAGTACTTATATTTTCCTATTTAATGACAATTTTTCCCAGCCTTGTTTAATTGAAATTTAGAAATTAAAAACAACATGATATACTTATAGTGAGTTGGGTGCAATTGTTGTATTATTGTACTTTTTAAATGTTATGATTTTTTTTTTTAATGCTTTGTAAAATTATATCGTGTTGTATTTGATTAGTCTTGTGTTCGTATCATTCTCTCGATCTAGATAGTGTGATGACTTATATCACCATAGTTCGTAGCGATCGAGTTAAATAATGGATCTCGCGCGTATTATACATTTATACATTGGTATTAAGTAGGTATCTATTCAATTTGGGAACAAGAAACGATTTGACCAAGAATGTGCTGATAGGTGCAGACGTATTATTTTCGACAGCTCATTTGAATACATATATATGTATACATATAGTTAGTTAGATATTAAATGTGCTATACAGTTTCAATACACAATGATTTAAAATTAAATACGTCGCAGAACCAGAAATCTCAACGTTGATGCAGTATAATATATAGGTTAGGTTAGGTTTGGTTAAATAATATTGTTACTATTATTATTATTTTTTTATTTTTACACGACAAAGACTAGAAATTTTGGATTTGAGTTTTCATCGAAGCCAGTTTAAAATGTCTGTGCTCACTGTTCAGTGTCGTTTCGGTTTACTGTTATTGTCAACCCAACTATCTGCATACAATACGTATATCTACGTTATATTATTTTTTATCTGAAGATATTGTGATCAGAACCGTCAGCTTGGGGCTAGCTTGTTTTTTCAGTAAATAAAAATCATATCTTGTTATATTTTTTTAGTCTTGACTTGTGCATATCATTCACTCGATCCAGATAGTATATAATGATTTTCATTGCCATAATTCAAAACGATCGAGCTTAATAATAGATCCTACGTATAATCTATATAAATATTAGCCATTCAATTTGGGAACAAGAAAAAATTTGTACAAGAATGTGCAGGTGATATCAGATACCGTATTATTTTTGGTAGCTTATTTTAATACATAGGTATCTATATACAATATATATATACCTAGTTAGGAATGAAATGTGGTATACGGTTTCAATATAGAACGATTTAAAAATTAAATACGTCGTAGAACGAGAAATATTAACTTGGATGCAGTATAATATATGGGTTAGGTTAGGTTACAAAATGATATTAGTATATTATAATTATTATTATTTTATACGGCAAATAGGGGAAATTTGCCCCAAAGTTTTCGGTAAATAAAATTTTTAAGTTCTGTGTTTGCAATTTTCTATTGTTGTCAATCCAACATTATACCTACATAGTATAATATACGATACATATGTTCTTATTTATTATCTGATAATTCAGTTCATGAGATTCGGCGAGGCTGACTGCGTTGAACGTTTTCAATAAATAAATATATTTTATTGTACTGATCTTATGTAAGTGTATATATGTAGTAATATTATTAAGAAAGATTTAAGTTGGTACATTTTGAAAAAAAATAATTTCATATACAAATTTATTTGAACCGTACACATTGATATTTGATAAAGTACTTCTCAAATCTATTAGCCACGTTATTTCCCTACAAGTATAACGCGTAATATTTTATTTATTTCGAGCAACACGGATTAAAATTAATTTCTATTTAATTCGTTATCCAACTTTATCTGCGATTTTTTTTTTTTAATTGAAAATATTTCCCACCTGAAATTGTGTAACATTATATTTGAATTGGTTTATTCAGTGTAGTTTCTTATTTTATATAAAGTTGAACTTAATTAATACATTTTTTGTATTAGATAATTCATTGAATAATCTTATTAAATCAAACTTTTTTATATCTTATTATAAGTTATATTATCACATTTTTACATTTATTATAGATACGTTAAGTTCTGAAACGTTTGAATATATGAACACGGTGCACCTTATTAATGCATATTATTATAATTTATTTTCATTGTTGAACAATAGCTGGATAATTGTATTATTACTTAAAAAAGTGCGATGTTTATAATAATGCAAACAATTTAGCCATTGATTCAAAAACTTTTTGATTTATTATTATATGATGACGCCTTAAGAATATGTATTTTTTAAGTACAACTAATTAGACTTTTCATGTTATGAATATTAGTTATTATATTATCTTTATTTTTCTAGTATAGGTACATTAAAAATAATCTCGCAATTTGTCTAAACAGTATTTTAAGATTCAAAATTCAATATTTAAGGTATTATATTGGTTACGTAATAGTTTTAAGAGGAGTAGTAAAATAATATTAAAATAAAATATTTTTCAACTTCATTAAGTTGTTACATAATATAAAATTTTTTTCTTAATTTACTGTCATATTAGGAGCCTATATTTTCGTGTCTGAACACAAGTTTTGGACAGTTAATATACAGTCCCGCTCACGGTTTTTGTTATCCTGTTGTGTAATGTGAGCGGATATAATGATTAAGACGAAGAAAAGCAAGTGGGTCAGATGTTTCAATAATAAATTGACACAGTTTTAGTTTCTGAGTGGAGCGATGAATGTATTGGTCTTATGATGAAATTCGTTTTTCCTTTTTTTTTGTGTGTTAAATGACACTTTCAATAGTAGAAAGAATGCCTCAATCTTAAACTTTGAGAATGGTTTCTGGTAGTAAACTGGATTTAGTTGGTACCTACCAAGGTAATATTTTTTTGAAAGCTCTTTTTGTACTATTTATAGATACCTATTTAAAATGTTTCAAAAATGTTTGTTATTGTGATGTTTTAGCTTGAAAATGTAAACACGATTCTTCGTCATTTTCTTTTACTAGAAATTAAAAGTTTAGCACAAGGCCACATAATTTTTGTATATGATTGATTAAACTTCAAGTTTAAGTTAAATTATTTTGTTGTACTCAGTAATTATTAAACGTAGAGACTTTAAACTTTTAATTGTCACGTGTATTAATATTTACTTTATACGATGACGTTTCAATTTATTTAGATTCATTTTAAGCTGTTTACACGATAAATATTTTCAAACTGTACTACGTGGCTGTATCGAATATTATACGGTGTTGTTAACAGCTGGTTATTTTAAATAATAAATTATATTATAATAACTATTGTATATTGTACTTACGTGATATGTTGTTAGAAAAATAATTACTTTAGCAATATCAACTATACATATTTAATATAAATATCCTTTCTTAAAGTAATATTGGATGACGCTATTTAATATTTATCTCCACTCAGAATCGTTTATGTTATACAATG